TGTTTCTGGCTATTGCTGAAAAGTTTCCAATGTAATATATTTCCCCATTTATCTCCAGTCTTTTGATTTATAAACAAGTAAACATTCTGTGCATACAGTCATTATGCTTAACATACATACCTGGGGTGGAAGAAATTATTCCTTTTCTTCCCAATTTAGATTTGCTTCCTGTGCAAGTAGTTTTCTTTCCAGAAAGAGAATCCAGTAAAGTTTTACCTGAGGTAAACATATTAGATGCATCTCTATGAAACAATCAAAAAGATTCATAAACTTCTCAAGTTCTAAGTTGGTCAAACTTGGTTTTGCACTTCATGTGTTAATTCAGCAATAAGTTAATTAGATTATTTCATTCAAGCTGCTGAGTTAAAAGGTAGAGAATACAAAGCCACATTCTTCTTTTAAGGAGTTTGTTATTATGCAAGTACAGTAGTCCATGCTTAACAACCCTAATTGGGAGTGGAATTTCTATCACTAAGCAGTCATTAAGTGAAACATCAGGTGAAGGGACCATTTAGCAACAACACTTCCAGTTGGCTCATTAGCCAAACACCTTACACGTCTCTGGCCTTGGAAAGAGTCAGTAGCTTTCTCAGTTGGGCACACCTTGTCATCAGTGGGAAGAAAACAAAAGTCAGCTGGAAGCAGTGGGGATAGGCAAGTGTTGAGGTCCTACATGCAGGTGAGCTGCCAAGCACCAAAATTTTGATCATGTGACTGGGTGGTGGGATGGTGCTGCAATGGCCATAATTTCAAGGTTAGGTCAAAACATCCTTTCAGCTGCAGTCATAATTTCAAAGTCACTGAACTACTGGTTAAGTGAGGACTACTTGTAGTAGATGCTATCCTGCTTGAAATATGAGTTATCTAGTCAGAACTAAAACACGCCACAAAATACTGGACATTTATAATATCCAAGCTTCCATCACATTAACTTTATGGCTGGATTGTTAGACAAGGCAACGTTGAATATTTGGATATTGTTTCCTCCAAACTATGTTCAGTTTCTGAAAATCCTATGTGATTTTACAGATGACAAAAACTAGTGACAAAGTTCAAATAAATTGTCCACACACTTGTCCTAAACGTCAAAGCAAAACAAATATTCCATTTATAAATGCAAATTACTTTCAACTCCTTTTTGCCTAGTAGAATTTCTTTCTTTTTGTTGACTTGGAGTGACAAAGTCTTCTAAGTTTCCTGCTGTTCCACTGCTTTGTGATACATCATTTTGGTTTATTCCCAGTATCCTTCCAAATCCTGCATCCTGGAAGCATACAATGGAGTTTCACTCAATTTTCTCATGCAGGCAATATATTTATGCAAGTGTATTCATATACAATTCTTATTCCATTCAATACACTTATTCCTGTTATTACGGTAGTTCCATATAATATATAAATTTACAGACAGAAAAGGGACACTATTAATGTCAAGGCTAGAGAAAAGTTTCAGAAGCATGCATACAGTAGAAACTTCCATTTCCTGACAACTAATAGAATAAGCATTGCAAAATAAATTATATAGCATTGCAAAATTTATGTTCCGTTAAAGAATGTGTGGAATTAAAATCCATACATCTTAATGTTGTCAAGTTTGAAACACACAGTACTAAATCACGTTTATAATAAAGTCAAAAAGGTCTACTGAATTCATAAATTACTATGATATATATATTTCTATTTTTATACTCTTCTTAATATTCACAGTAATCAACCAAACTTAAAAACAAGGAACTTGCATATCTTACAATTTCATATAAATAGTATCACCTCTTTCTCTGAATCCAGTTCTATTTTTTCTTCATTAAGATTTTCTTGTGTAGTTTGCTGGGCATTATCTTCTTTCTGTTTTCTATGCCTTTTGGTGATTTTGGATGGATTTACGGAAATTTGACTGCCATTCTGTTCCTCAATATCTGTAGATGGGGATGTCTTTTTGATACCCTGTAGAAAAGAAACTGAGCCATTTTATTATCATCTTCATATTTCTTTCAGTGACAAACCATAAGGTATTATTCAGTTAACAACAGGGTGGATTTGATTTAAATCGAGTTGATTTAAATCACGATTTAAATCACTAAAAGGCTCAATTTAAATCAACTCAATTTAAATCATAATTTTTAAAGGGCAACTGTCATCTCTGTCCCACAGCGGCTCCTCCTCTGACCCACCATTGAGTCACCAACAGTCCCATTCACTTTAATGGGGCGGCTGTTGATGTGGCAGTGACACAACAAGGAGAGGGACATGGCGGGCAGCAGGTGAGTGGATGCCTGCTAACAGGCACTGCCATGATGATCTGAAATGACAGGTGCTCTTTAAATGTAAGGACTCATTCTTGCTGGTAGTTAGAATCTTTAATATTATTATTTGCAAACAAAATGAAGGTTTCCTATTTAGAATAATAAGCTGTCAGGTTAGTAAAACAGTGATATCAGAACCGATTTTAATAGGTTAATAGGTAAATCACACATAGTTGGAGAACTAGTCAAATTCTTTTATTTAATTAAAACACTTAAGAGCCTGGTACAGATGCATTTCTCTTCAAACAATCATATAGTTTGTAGTGTACATAGATTTGCAAAACAATGGGATAACTTTGTTTTATAATTTATCTCATGGTTACTGTGAAATTGTGTGAATGCATCAATGTAGTGCATGTTATCTCAGCTTACAGAGCTTGGATTCGTTGAATGAATTTACTAAAAATGTAAATATTGCAGAATATACAGCCTCACGCTACATAACTAGGCTCCATGTCATGCTGAATAAACTAAATTCTTAATGTATATTAAATAGAAAACTATCTTTAGATAGATTTTAACCCAAAAGCATTTTATTAAAATAAATTTGATAAAAATAAAAAAATCCCATTTTTAAAAAAACTTTTTGAAAAAAATCATTCATTATCCACCTGGTTAACAAGTCTAAAAGTTGTTTGTTCATAGTAGTCTGTCCCCAAAACTGTTATGCTAAAGAAAATCAGATGAACATAAATATAAGATTACTTCTACCAGATCCATAGCCAGACAGCTAAATAATGTGCTTGAGGCTTTTCATTATATGGAAGGAACAGGATTTACTCTATTTTAAGATACCGTTGCTAGAGGATAAATGAAATGGTCAAAATGTGCCCTTACCATATTTTTATTTTCTTCACAGAAGTGATTCTTTAATGCATTTAACAGCTTGGTTGCCTAAGAGAAAATAATTATCAAAAAGGGCTGTTATAAATCAAGTTACTGCAGCTAGGTGTAAAAACCTGTAACACATTTGTGATATATTTGTCTCACTTCAGCTGCCTTAAGGATGGGAACCTTGCCCTTCATTAGGTGCTTCCTAGCTGAGCTTCAGGCCTATCTTCTGATCATAACTCCCACAATTCTACCTCTTGGTTCCCAGCTAAAGCCACAGAATCTCTCATTCCAGCAGCCTCTCTGTCCTTTTGCAAAAGGTGTAGGGATCACAGTTGAATCAGCCCTTGAAAAGCTTTTGGAAAAAAACAAACCATATCAGCTAGTGGAGATGACTATACATTTTAATTGGACAAGTAAAATCCCATCTTTAGAAGGCCAGATCCTGAAGTTGAAACTCAAATATTTTGGCCACCTAATGAGAAGGACTCACTGGAGAAGGGCCTAATGCTGGGAAAGATTGAGGGCAATAGAAGGGGACGACAGAGAATGAGATGGCTGGATGGAGTCACTGAAGCAGTAGGTGTGAACTTAAATGGACTCCAGAAGATGGTAGAGGACAGGAAGACCTGGAGGAACGTTGTTCATGGGGTCGCGATGGGTTGGACACGACTTCGCAATTAACAACAATAAAATCCCATCTACCATCACACCCAGATTTTCATCAGTTCTTATGACAAAGGCAGAGAAGTAATCAGAGATTACACTAAATGTTTTTCGAACTTAGCAAGGGTTAAGAAGCATGGATATTCCCCATGCTGGTTGGGGAATTCTGGGAATTGAAGTCCACATAATTTATCGTTGTCAACTTTGAAAAATACAGTACAGGTAGTCCTCAATTTACAACAATTGAGCCCAAACATTATGTTGTTAAGTGAGAAATTCGTTGAGTTTTGCCCCATTTTACAACTTTTCTTGCCACATTTGTTGACTGATTCACTGCAATTGTTAAATTAGTAACAGTTGTTAAGTGAATCTGGTTTCCCCATTGACTTTGCTTGTCAGAAGATTGCAAAAAGTGATCACATGACCCTCATAAATGCAAGTCAATTATCAAACAACCAAATGTAAATCACATAACCATGGGGATGCTGCAACGGTCATAACTATAAAAAGTAGTCACAACTCGCTTTTTTTCAAGTGTAATTTTGAACGGTCACTAAGTAAACTGTTGTAAGTCGAGGACTATCTGTACTAAATCACACTTGTTCAGCCCTGCTTTAGGGAACGGAGTACTAGCATAATAAAATCCACGTAGTCAACCGAAGTCACAAAGTCATGGTTCTGCAACGGCAAGATTCACGACTCGCATTATGCCCATTTCCAAGGTTTAGTTCGAGGTGGCAACCTATAGTGAAGGTATCGAGACGTCCCTTGCTCAAAAGGGCTGGCCAGGGACCCGCTCTCTCGGCTCGCCAACTATCTAGGCCAAAGTGCTTTTGCTTCCCCACCCGCCTGGCCAGTCCAGAGCTCACCTTGAGGTTAGCTTTCAACCCCGCCGACTTGGCCAGGGACTGCAATTCGCTGTATTTGAGCGCCTCCAATTGAGACGAAGAGAGCGCTTCCATGACTGGCAATTACTCGCCCAACAATCAACTCTCTCTTCGAGGAGACGCTAAGGTTCAACCGCCGCGTCTCTTCGGTCCCGCCTTTATTTTCAAACTCCCCAATCGTGGCGAAATCTCTGCCGAGCCCTTGCTGGAAAAGCCAATCAGATCCCAGGATGAAAACGTTTATAAATAAAAAGGGGCCGTTTTGTTTCCCTAGAAACTTGCCAGAAAGTTTCAGAGCTCGATTAGATAAAGGCGAAAGACGAACAGGCGCCTTCGCCAATGAATGGGGAGAGGGGGGCCGTCCTTGCTAACCGCCCATACGAGCTCAAGGGGGTACCAATCAGCGCAGTAGGAAGCCGAGGCCAAAGTTTGAATCTTCGGCGGGAGGTCTGATGTCTGTACGGAAAAAACTTCGGCTTTTGTTTGAGGAGCCCCAGGTGGGCGGCACGATCACAGTAGAGCAGGCAGGACCCGAGACGCGGCCCGGCTGCCAAGTCCAGCGAAGCCCAGCGAAGCGGGAGAGCCGCGGGGAGCGAGTTCCGGGCGCTCGGGGACTCAGGCTGGAAGACTGCGTTGTCTATCAGTGCCGGCGCTGCCGGGTCGTATTAGGAGACTCGCTCCACTTGTGCGCGCAGGAGGAGAAACTCCGCCTTTTTGTTTGTTTCAGTGAGTTGATCGGGTGTTTTGCCCCGGAGAATGAAAATGCTAAAGTCGAACTCCGAGTACGTAGCTGTTAATCGGCGAAATTTCGAGGGGCAACAAGCGTTAGTAAGGTAGTAGGAAAATGCGAATCGTTCTGCACCAAGGATGCTTATGGGGCTCTCGCTGACGAGGACATACACGTGTGCTTGTTAAGCGTGAAACGTTCCGTGGCCATTTGTCTCCAGAAAGTGGAGGGGTGTGTGTGTGTGTGTGTGTGTGTGTGTGTGTGTAAGAGCAAAACATGATATTTTAGTTAGGCGTGTTTTCCTCTAATTAGCATGGTGATTTGTTCGTCACTTTCCCCCCTGTAGAATTTGGATAAGCATTAATGGCTGAGCCTTGAAATTAATTTTCTCAGAAACTATTATATGATTATATTCAGCAATATGAACGGATGTGTTGCATATCATAGCAAGATAACTGGCTCTCCCTGTACAGATCTAAGAGCAATACTAGCGTAGGCATTCCAAAATGCTTGTTTAGTTACTTGACCATTTCACCATCAATGTAATTGATAGGAATGGTGAAATTTCAACAGTATAACTTCTTGTATCACGATCAAACTGGTTGTCTCCTTCAGATCAAAACAATAGGTCCTTAATGTGATAATATAACTCCCATAAATTATAAGTAGTACTAAATATGAATACTTGTATTTTGAACACCAATATGGATGAGGGACAAACATTCTTGCTACCCTACTTTAATTATTTAGAGAGATTTAAATTTTGGGCATCCCTAAATTTAACAAAGGATTCTAAAATAACTCTTTTTCTCTTTAGATAGATATGCACACATGTTTTATTTCATAAACATGCTTATTCTGAAGGAGATACTTACCGTACTTCAAGGAGATTAGTTGGGTGACGTGACTGCACTGGTTATTACAGCTCAGTATTTGGAATGTATGTTTTGATACTTTGATCTTAGCTTGATACATGGTCCATTATACATTTTTTATTCAGTTTGTACAGCTGCTCATTTTTGAGTGGGCAATGAGCAATCATCAAAATACTTAGCCAGTTAAACACAATATAAAAATAATTTAAAAAAAATAGCAGCCAAAATATATAATAATCAATAGGTTTCAACATAACAAGAAAACACACACTCAAGGCCCTGGGCCCCAAGCCAGGTTTCAAGGTCTTCCAAAGGGCAGTAGGGTCAGGCCATCTTAATCTCCGGAAGAAGTATGTTCCAGAGGGTAGATGTTACTATAGAAAAGTCACATCTATTTCCCATCAGCTGACATTCTTTGGCTGACAGAACCTGGAGCATGCCAATCCTGTTGGATCAAATTGTATAGATCAGACATGTCAAACACAAAAGTTTTTATTGCTAATATTCCAGTGCTGCCCTTATTTTCTGCAGAGGTCACAAAAGATGTTGTTGTGGAAGACGACTTGATGGTCTGTGTTGAAGGAGACCTTATTGGTTGGTGGGTATCTTTTTGAAAACCTTTCCAATGTTTACTTGTGATTTAGTTAAGTATTTTGCATGCCCATAAGACAACAATGTAATCTTAAAATACATGTAGATATTTTTTAAAAAACAAAAACAACAAAACAAATACATCAAAGAGAAGGAAAGTGTTTTGTCTTTACACTAGAATTTTTCTACCTTTATCATATTTAAAATAACATGCTTAAACTTCAAATGCTGTATCTGATTTTGCATATAAAGTTTTTGCCATAGATCTTATGTAACATTTCATTGACAGTATGGTTGTAACCATTTTTTGATGTTATGTCTTCATGAAATTGTCTGTTTAATATCCAGCCAAAAAATGGCCATATATAAACATTGTCTTTAGCTAATCCACTTTTAAAGTCATATTTTACTCTTCAGATATAGATTTTGCCATAGATCTTATACTTAGCATACTTTATTGACACTACGGTTGCTAATATTCTTAATGTAACACCACTGTTCCACAAGGTGCCAGTCTGCTTCTGGGTGCAATTCAAGATGTTGGTAATCAGCTTTAAAGCCCTTCACAGCATGGGGCCAGATTACTAGAGGGACCATCTCATCCCATTGGGATTGGCCCACCCCACCCGTGCCAGCAGAGGAGGCATGCTGTGGGGCCCCGTCAGCCTGATTATTTCAGTGGGAGGGATTCAGGAGAATGTCCTTCTCTGCCATTTCACCTGCCCTGTGGAACATCTTGCCCCCTGGTGTGAGGTTGTCCCAGATCCTTCCGATCTTCTGAAAGAACCTAAAGACCTGGCATCACTGCTTTCTGAAACTCTTGTCAAGTCTCAGCTCCTTATAAACACAGGCTTCGTATTCTAAGTTATGTAAGATTAGTATATGTCTATAAATCTTGAACCTTTATTATTTCTGTTGGGGTCCTCAGAGAAATTATTTTTTGCCAATAACATGATGGGCAGTTTGGTAGAGGTCTTGGTCAGTGCTTGGACTGTACTCATGGACATCAACTCATACTCATGGATTTGGCAGGAAAAGCCCAATATGTATATATATCAACTGTAAAAAAATAAAAAAGAGTAATAAAATATGCAACTCCCAAAAGAATAAAGGTACAGCTGGTTGATGTTCTATGATTGTAAATTTATATACTGTACATGTGCAGAACCAAGAGCTATTGCTCATGAGGCTCAAGGTACACAGGCTATAAAGATTTATGGAACATAATCAGCAATGTTTAACTGATTTCATGTTTTCTTTTTCTTCCAGCACTTACAACACATTGCATTGTCAGTCCTGTCAACTGAATATTGGCTTTATCCTCTATAGTTCAAAGTCACTGGCTTACCTGCGAGGCCTCTTCTGCCTTTCTAAGGACAATATCACATGGTTAGCGTTCTCTCTTAGCATTCTCTCTCTGAATAGATCTTTTTAACATTCATATTTTATAGTTTTTTTCAATCTAGATGAAATGTGTGTGTGTGTGTGTGTGTGTATATATATATATATATACACACATATACATACATATACGTGAGTGTGTGTTCCAATCCATGTATGATATGCCATATGCTAAATAAATGAATAAATCTTGCTAAATTTGATAAAGCTTAGAAAACCATGTTCAGAGAATAGTAAGGTTCTTGAAGTCTAGTATTGTGAAAAGATTTTACTATTGCAATGACTGTTTCCATTCTTTGTCCACTCGCTTACAAATCATCTCGGGGTAGGCTGAGTTACGCACTGTAAACTGTTCATTTTCTTTTTAATGAGTCAATATTAAAACATTGGTTTTAGTTACTTGCTACAAACTACCGCTACAGTAGAAGCTTCAAAAGTAACCTGTCCTGTTGTGAACCTAAAGGAACATGTAGAGAAAGTAAGTATTTTCTGGTTTTAATTTTTTTTTTAATTTATATTGGTATAGATTGGATTTGTATTTACTTGATTTATATTTATACCATGCCTTATTATAAGGAATAATACAAGGCACTCTGTCTCCTATTTATTTTCTTTGGGATTTGCCACCAACTCTGACAGAGTGGAAACAGTTCCATGTGTAAATATGTCAGCATTACCAAAAAAAAACAAAAAAAAAACCCCAAAATGTAGTGGGAAAAGATTGTGCTACAGTGAATCTCAAACGGCATGGATCATGTTGAAACAAGCCAGGCTTATCTAGCTAATTGTGATTTCATGGCAAATCAACTGTTTACTTTTCCATGCAATGTCCACTATCTAAAGATTCTTGTGTAACTATAATATGAATCAAAACCCTTTGGGCCCATTTACATTCTTTCAGTTGAAATGTTATGGCAAATGTTTATGAAATGGTGGCACAGTTTACTGACTTTCACCCCCATCCCCAAATTAAAGACTGATTCCGATGGACTAAGGATGAAAAAAAGAATGATGTGCTTCCCAGAGGATTCTCACTTCCTTTCCCAACCATTAACACTTTGGCAGGGCAAACAGGCCTTTTCTACTAACATTGCTTCAGTGAATGACCCTAGAAAAGTAGATGGCTGAATTGCATTCCTCTCAGATGTTGCTCAGCCCTGTTTCAGTTTACCAAATTAGCCTTTACTAAAATCAGTTTACTAAAATTATCATACTACCTATTATGCAGTTGAATACTGAAGGTATTAAAAGGATTCCATTTCTGCAGTACTGCTTATATGAATATTTTTAAGTTGCAACATAACATTGGTCATTTTAAAAATATTTGTAAAAATATTAAGATTGCTTAATATTCTGTGATATGTTCTATTTACACTTAATTTTTTGTTTGTAGTTAAAAAAAAGTCTTATAAAAGTTCACATGCGCATGGAATTGCTAATTAAAAAACTAGAAGAATTCAATCAACAAAGGATTACATCCGAAAAGGAGAGCTGTAAAGGAAGACCATATGAAAATACAAATAGAAAGCTGAATGGTTAACTTTTTAGAGTTACCTATCTCAACTAATTGTTTTTACAATTACTTATGTTTGTAATTGAAAATGTAAATTAAAATGGCTTTACACTGGCAAATTGGTGATAGTTTCCCTTCCTAGCGCATTCAAGGGCATATAGTGTCTGAGCATGAATAGCTATCTCAAATCATTTAACTCGTAAGTGTAAATATTTCTATATATTCTCACAAAAATCTTAAAACATTGAATAACCGTCCTAAGATTGCATTGTGAACATATTGGAAACTGGATAGTCTACTCTAGAGAAAGTTACGTCGCCTCAGGACTCAGCTATAAATTGTGTTCAGCAACATTAAAATTGGTCAAAAAATAAAACATTTGAAATATCAGATTAGCATTTTATTAGAAACATTTTTTTGATTGTGGGGAAACTCTTTACAAAATCACTAATATGCATTGTAATCTGTTCATTGTAATCTGTTCATTTATCAGAAGGCTTGGGGCCAGAAAACTCAATTTCCTGGTTATTGTACTTTCAAGATTGAGATATAGGTTGCAGTGGCTGTAGTAAAAAATTTTCAGGATGTATAGGATTTCTATCAGCAAAATATAAAAAATTGTTTCCTTTGAGTCAAATTGATCAATATCAATCTAGTCAGTAGAAACAAATGCTTGGAGTATTTCTGCAAAACACCCTGAGGTAATTTACTTATTGCTGCATAGTTTGGAAGTAACCGTTACTCCAATGAATATAGGAGCTCTGAATAATTGTAATAATTATGTAATAGTTATCTTTAGATAACCAATTTTTGGTAACAAACTCTTTCCATTTCCTTCTGATTTTTGTGAACATTCAGAAGCTTGTCTCTCATGAAGATGACAGAGTCTGGAGCTATTCTTTCTTTTCATAACCATCAGTTTTTACTTCAGGTTAACTCATGCTAGGAATAACATTTCTGTATTTGTACAGAGAATACACACAAGAACAACTGACCAGGTTTAAAATATACAACTCAATGATTCTTTAACATATCCCTTATATACTGAAGGGAAACAAGAGGATTTTGTACATTTAACTGTGTTTCTAGGAAGAAATGACACAGACATTTTAGTGCATTCTCAGCTCATGCTGCTTTATTGCTAAAAAATTATATACAAGTGCAGAGTTTCAAAGCTCATTTTTCAACAATTATTGTTTACAGTGTCAAAAGAATACATTTAACACATTCTTTCCCTTCCCCAAATATGCATAGATATAAAAGCAAGCTGCCATCTGGAAAATATTAGATATATACATAGACAAATTGTTCATATTGATACTTAATGAATATAAGGGAGTAGATTATATGTAGCCTCTTTCTTGTCTTTTCTTATCCAGATGAATTTATCTCTTAGTAAAAGAGATAACCTTTGTAGGTTATCTTCTAGACTGAACTTTTGCTACCCATTCTTCCCAGTTTTCAAACACTAGAATAACATTTTATTTTGAAAAAAGTATATCCATTTAGTAGCCCAGTCTTAAATCCTACTCTTTAGCTGAAATACATGCAAACAATCTGTAAGAAAAGTCAATTTTGGAGGAAAAAAGTTAGAAATGAGAAACTGTTTATTTCAGTTGTTAAAATTGTTTGCAAGACTTCAATCACAGCTTCAGTCGATCTAGTAATATGAAGTTACTCATTACCGGCAAAGAATGTTCAGAAAAATATGGTTGGAAATATGTATAACTGGGAAAGTTACAAAAAACAAAAAATGCATAAATATACCTTAACAAATGTTTATACCTAGACAACAGGTCAAACTTTGAGATACACTAGTTTCAGATAAGCTAAAACTGCCTTTTTGCAAACTAGTATAATTAAAGATTCAAACTCGAGATTTATTTTTAGCACATCTTAATAGGAAAAGTGTGTGCCAACACAGACTTTGCTGCAACAGATATGCTGCTATAATATTTCTATTATCTACATGTTCTACACCTTTTTTCAAAATTGAGTATTCTTATCAATCCTCAGTCTAGCAGGTCAATACAGCTACCCCCTATTTAAATATAGCTTGAATGAATAATAGTTAACTATTTCCAATTTCCATAATGTATCATTATTGCTGGTTTCAAACCAGTTCATTTTAATCCAGCTGCCAAAGTGGTGGGAAAAAACCTGAAAAGCTACACCTGTCCTAGAAAGAATTAATACCTGAAAAATATGGACAGCTTACTCATTTTAATTACTCATTGTTTTTTAGCCACAACAGGCTCTGGATATATTTACTATCTCTACTTAAAAATAACCACAAACCCTAAACTGCTTAGATCATTTTTATTGCCCCATTTGGAATTTAGGTATTCCCTTTTCTGCGCTCTGAAACTCTGCACCTTTTTTGTTTGTACAACTGCAGCAACCAAGAAACCCAACTTGCCATTAACCATGTTCATATTATGTAGGCTCATGAGCTGCTATGAACTTGGTAAGAGGCCAAGAGGGTTTATTCTACTGATTCCTTTTTCTAATACACAGTTTTGGCGTCATGCTTCGTCCCTTCTTTGTACATTTTGCCCCTTTACTAAAGAGGCAGCATGTTGTCTAAAAAAAACTGAGAATCAAAGCAGTAAATTCAAGCTATTGGTATATTGGTTCCTATTGCTTCATAATGTATAAATGCATATATCAATTTACTGATAATAGCTATAACACTATACATTTTAATCATGCATAATTAGAATACTATCTCTAAAAAAAGACGGTTTGTGAGTCTATGTGCTTGTGCCAGTGGTTTTTCCCACACAAGTATTCCATTCTGATAGCTCTGTAATATCATCTGTCTTCACCTGCATGGAAAAGGATTGAACTATCCAGTCCTTAAGAAATACTACACTTTATGGAATTTTTGTTGTGCTGTGACTTAGAAAACTTGGAAATTCCATCTAAAACCAGCTAGGAAGTGCTCAGATTCAAAGCCTCCATCATTCATTTCCCATGTTCCTAGAATGAAGTCAGTTCCTCTCTGCACAATAGCTTTCTTTTCTAGAATGCAAGAAATGGTCACTCTAATCCTCCCGTAGCCAATGTGCATTCATTGTTTAATCATTTTCGGATTCCAATAATAAGCCTTTATCTTTTATCCCCCTTTAAGAGATACATCAATGTATTTATTCCCAAAGCTATGCACTATGCACAGCTACCATTTTTTCCACATTCCTGGGAAAGTTAAATTCCCTGCTCTTCTTGTAACCCATCCCAAGCATACAAACTGAATGCAAAATCTCAATCCAGTTTAGCTTCTCTAAATCTTGACTGAACCATCAAAGAACTTGCAATCTATTTTCCAGAAACCTGTTTGTGAGAGCTATTTTCTGGCACCTAAGTGTTAATATTGTGCTTGAATTCTTACATGACTTATTGTTTTTCAAAGTGCAAAATAAAGGAAAATTTAAAAATCCAAAGGGAAGTTTATATTAAGAGGGATTTTATCATAAAATTTAGAGAGTAGGTGCTGATTAAAATAATTTTAAAAAATACTAAAATATTTACAGATGAAATGCAAGGTCTATGGGGCCTTTCATCAAGAATAGTAATGTTTCAATGGAACTGATCTGCAGTCAAAAATTAAGAGCTATCAAGGTAATTATTACAATCAAAGAAAGGAGAAACTACATGGAGAACAGACAGATTAAGTACAATGAAGAGCCACTTATGAATTTTCTCTCATCTGAATTATATTTCAGTATTATATTTCCAGGAATTCAAATACTATAGTCCCTTATCACTTAGATCAAGACAGTAATGCACTCTAGGATGAGGCTGTGATTCAGATGTTTAAGCAATTAACAACAGTCTAACTAGTTCTTCCAGAATAGCACCACATTCAAGTCTTGCATGCAATCCTGAGTCCTCACATTCATGACTCTGATTATGAAAGTAAAATTTTCTACCAGCAATGTTATAATCTTAGCCTAGCACCAGTTTAGCCAACAGTGAAAAAGATTTGCAAATTAGCTGCTCAAAACATGTGAGCAGTGAAAATTGTACTGATACAGGTATGAGATACCTTTAGGATTCTGCCAACAAGTATTTAAATAATCACGTAGGCAACTACAGAAAGTGCAAATAATTTTCCAGGGTTAGAAAAATTGTTAGTGAGTTTAATGAATGCTTCCTATGTATTTTGTGACCAAAAGTCAACTAAATATATCAATTATTTGTCTATATAAATATTTGATTAATCTTCTGAACATTTTAGAAACTTGTGCTAAATTTTCATTGATCAGTATAAATACGTACAGAGCAGAAAGTTCTATAGAACAGGGGTCCCCAACCTCTGGGCCACGGCTGTGGGCGTATGAGTTGTTTGCAACTGGACTGCAGAAACGGGCAGGCGCACACACATGCCTACTTGCACAAGTACCAGGCAAGTGCACGCGCACACACGCTCCATTTGTGTGAGCGGGAGGTGCATGCGCATGCCACTCGTGCAAATGGAGCTGCGCATGCAGTTGCTGGCTGCTCGCACGGAACCATTTCCTCTTCCTGGTTCACAAAGCTGGAAAGGTTGGTGAACTGTGCTATAGAATGTGTATAAACATGTATGCATTTGTGTATATGTATTTTATTTTAAAACTATCGTGTAGATAAACCATACCATAGAATGTAGAACAAAAATAAATGTAAAGCCACTTTCTTTAAATATATGTCCCAGCCTTGCAGATGAATCTGGTCAATCAAATCCTGCTTAAGGCAGATTTCTGCATTAGATTTACAGTTTACTTGGTCTTCAGTATGCACGTGCATACAAAGTTAGTGCAACTGAATTTTAAAGAGGTATAAACTGCACTCTCTAGAATGACGAGGCTAAGAATTTGCCAGGCAGAGTGAACTGAAACTTGTTCTCCAAACTCCTAAATTATATCTCTGGGTAGAACCCAGCCTCAAGGATTCTTTGTTACTTCAGAAATGATGATCAATTATCTACATTCTGTATAAGTTCTCGTCAGTTTCATACACAATAAACCTCTTTCCTAATTATATCAATTTTGAAAAATAAAATTATTCTGGAATTTTTGCCAAGCTTTGCCTGTAGCGTTCAAACACATAGTTTTGTGGTAGAAAGGAATTTACCAACTTTTGAGAAATTCAACTTCCTGCAACATAGAGCACAGCAAACCTATTTGGTTAATACCATTTATTCTACTATACAATTCTTGCCAATGCAAGTTAAGTCCTATTACATGCAAATAGTTATTGCTACTAAAGTTCTATTTATTGTCATCTTATGGCTTTATTTGCATCAGGGATTTTTTTCCCCCTACATACTGTGCTATTTTGCATTCCAGTTTCAGAGGTATTTTTCCATCAATTCTCCCAATCATCAGCCCCATTTCATTCACTTGTACTGCTCTTCACAAGAGAACCCTGATAAAGCTCAGGCCTTCACAATTCGTCTCCAAACGACACACTTTGCCACTTTCACGAGAAAATAGAGATCTTTAAAAGTAATTGTGTAGTTCTCTGGCTTAATAGTTAAATTATCATTATGTTTTGCCAATAAAGAAATACAAAGCCAGAGAAATCTTTTCTCTCGTCAAGGTGGCCATTTATAGAGATTTTTTTTTTTTAAAAAAAGATGCAGTATCCCCTTTAAGCTAAAAGTAGCAATTAAACCATAATCATCTACAAAGAACTAGATTCATAACTTAAACCTGACTTGTTTGAACCAAAAATAAAGTTTTAAGTAGATGAGTTACCTAACTGGAGCAGTAACTTCAGAAAAGGGGGGGGGACCTACTAAGATTAATTAGTGTAATATAAAGATAGACTTTTGAATGCAAGAAATAAATGTGACCAAATAATTAGTAAGAAAACTCCAGTAAATGTTTTACCTAAATTAGCAAAGTAAGCAAAAAATTGAGATTTTAATAATGAACAATGCTAATAACTTAGGTGCGTTCAGAATTAGCTGTACAGTGACAGCATTTCTAGTTTAGTCAATTTTGCAAGATGCCACTCTGCCCCATTGGCAGATATGTGCAAGCCCCAATCTATCATTCAGTTTCTACAAGCAACAGTTACATTGTAAAAGGTTACCCATTCCTGTATTACTGCAAGCATAAAAACAACCAACAACTCTGATTCAAAACATACCAAAACGTTTCATGGGTAAGACTAGTCATATGCTTATTCTAGTCCCTAAATTTAAGAAGTTACACTATCAGTTATTTTTCTCATTATAGCAAAATATTCCATGATTCACAAGGGGTTTTGTTAAGGATTATTACTTCTATTAGGGTTTTACATGCAGTTTAAGTGCACTCAAAATATACCTGGCTGATTAAAGATTATTTTCATGCAATCACTATGAAATTCACATCTCACTGATTCTATGCATCAGTTTCTTCTACCATTGCCTAGAAAGGACACTGCATCTTTAGACCATGACCATGACCATAACCATGTCAGTTGCCTATAAGTTACATCATCAGCTTCATTAATTTGTCACTCTGAAATTGTAAAAAAAGTACTACTAGGCTCATGCACTGATCCTAACATGGCACTACAGTTTTGCTACAAAGCACTAATGCTTATGGAACTATACACATTTTAAAATGGAAGACATTGGTGATTTTGTTGTTCTCAAACAACTTGTAACATTTTGTCCACAAGTATTAAAATATATTTATATGTATATATTATACTATTGCACATGCCCCATATTTGCTTCATCTTTCAAATGTAAAAGATTTCCTGCCAAGGTGGACAACAGATGAGTATGTAAAACTAAAAAATAAAGGCAATACTGCCTGTGACTAGTACTGTTAAGGAGATGCTCATGGATAGCTACACTGTAAAATGGTTTCCCGGGCATATAGAGAGCAGTGTTGTTTTTTTCTCAAATGCTAGGTTTACTCTTAATGCAGCCGTATTCAATAGAAAGAGATACATTATTACAGTGGCATTTAGTGAGAAAGGGGATAAAGAATTGATTTTCTTCTTAAATACTATGAACGTTTTCTAATGATTTGGGGAAACTAAATTACATTCCCACTCTGTCCCATTCTACTGTATTATTTTCCCCACAACATATCTCTTGAGGTATAAATAGCTAAAACATCCCAAAAACTGATAAAACTCATGCTGTTTTCTAATTTTTAACAAGAATTGCAGAGAACAGTTTCATTAAGATAGGGTTTACTTCTAAAACCCTGATAAACCAAATTATTTTAAGATTTCAATTTTGTATGAATAAACTTCTAAGTTTCACATTTTTTTGACTATTACTGTAAATATTTCATTTTTTTGTCCTGTAGCTATAGATTTTAAGCCCTCTGAAAGTGTTCTACTGAAACACTTTTTTTAAAAAAAAAATGTACATGTAAGTCCTTATTTAGTTCTTATTAACCGTACCACAGTTACAATGGTGATGAAAAAGTAACTTTACAACCAATCCTCACATTTATGACATTCAGAGGTCTGTAAAGCAAAGGAAAGCTGAAGTAAGATCACGACAGATCAGTTTCACTTAGTGACTGCTTTGCTTAACAACCAAGATGCCAGTTCCAATTGTGGTCACTAAATGAGGACTACCTCTATTTTATTCAAAACAGCAAAAAAAATGTTTACTCTTTTATCATATATAAGCTAAACATAACATGATGGCAACCAAATACAAAATGCTTTGCTAGGTATATTCCCCTTCTTAAAACTATTTAAAACATACAAGCATCCCAAATGTTCTTCTACCAGCCAGTACTTTACCTCTGAAAATAACATGTGCCATCAATCAGCCAAAAGCATTCAACATTCTTAGCTATGACTAACAATTATCAAATGCACTTCCTTTAGCTAAGATTGAGGATATTGTTAAACTATTAGCAAGCCTAAATTAATATTTTAATAAAACTGAAATAAGGTGCTCCATGACTCAGTAAGGAAAGAAGACATAGGCCTTTGCACCCAGTTGTGGCAAAAAGTAACTTTTATCCCAGCTTGAAACAGCCCGTACGTAGAAACAAACACAATGCAAAGAATGTTCGCAAACAAGTTTAGAACACAATTTCCACCTTAACTCTGGGTAACGCATTGAGAAATAATGAAGAAGCCCTTCCTGAGCATGTCCAACTTTTGTTCATGTAAGCAGTGGAAAGTTTTACATACAAGGTTATACTGGCATTATTGTTCCTTTCAGGTAAAAGCCTGGATAGTTAAGTCATTGTACCTTTTATTGTTGAATTCCTTAGGAAAGAATTGGGATACCAAGTAAATTCTACTGCCCCAAGGCTTACTTTCTATACTTTTAAGTCTCCAACCTCCATTTTCTGAGACATATTATTAATATCCCCACTTTCCAGCTTTTAAGTACATTCAATTGTACATAAGTTGACTGGTGCAACTTTACAGAATTGTACCAAGATTTACTTAAATCTTCAATTAAAATCTAATTATAAACTGGCTCTTTTAGGAAGGAATTTTTTTCAATGGAAAAATCTTTCAAACTATTTCTCTTTTTTTCTTTTACAACACATGTACACTCTGGTCGTTCTGCCACAATTTTTCATCAAGATTTCTGAGACAGTATTTTTAAGAACATACCGATTTGTTAGGCTCTCCAAAGATTTTTGCGGTGAATTATTTTACTAAAATATACTGAATGAATCAAAGTGTCAACAAGAATTGACAATTGCTTGTATTATGTGCACAATCACTTATAGAGGGCAAAAACCATAAGCAAAGGCCTGGTTTACGTGAAGGTCTATATATTCATTTTAGTTGCTTTTTTGCAAGGGTTGTACTTTCCATCTGTATAATTCAGCTTCATGTGGTAATTTTTTATGATGAGGAGCTGTAAAAGAATCAAAGCAGCATTTCTTCATTTCCATTTAGTGAAATAAAGGAAGAGTTTTCTTCACAAGATGGGCATTCATGAATAGCAACTCTTTTAAGAAACAGCCTCCCCTGGATCAAAAAGAAAAGATCTGGAATGAAACACATACAAATTATTTATTTATATCCCACCTTTATTATTTTTACAAATAACTCAAGATTGTGAATACTTCCAACAAACCTTCCTCCTATTCCCCCCCCCCAGAAGAAACCCCTGTAAGGTGAGATAGGCCGAGAGAGAATGACTGGTCTAAGATCACCCAGCTGGCTTTCATGGACAAGGCAAGACTTGAACACCAGAATCTCCTACTCTTCTAGCCTGGAGCCTTAACCACTAGATCAAGACAGCTCTCAACCAAACTGGCTCTCAATTAATATAATGAAACTGAAAACAATATTTCATTTCGTGGAAACGTGGCATTTTAATACAAGAAAATAATCTGCAGATGAATTATAGATAATGTCAACAACTGGGGTATTGTGCCATTAATCATGATCACAGTCTGCTCACTTTTAAGACTCATTAATTTCCCATACACAGCAAGATTACTTTATAAACTAGAATTTGAAGACTATGTTTGCCTCCTGATACATAAATATCACTGGAAAACATTGCCATGAAAAGTCACTGAGTACGGAAAGTAAATCTTATATCTATTGCATGTAGCAATAGCATTTAGATTTATATACTACCCCATAGCACTTTACAGTGCTCTCTGGGCAGTTTACAATGTAGAAACATTATTTGCATATGAACTATATTGTGATAAATGTACAACATAAAGTAGTATACTGTTCTAAAATAATCTACTGAGAACAACTGAATTGAGATCCAAGAAGTTTATCATTTGGAATGCAGGAGAGGCTCGCTTTAGGAATTAATGCTATTTAATTGAAAGCTTGCTATAGAATAAAAGACAGCAGAATTTTTTTAATGAAAATGATAGTCTGTAAGCCACTAACAATATCAAAGAACGTTGACTTTCAATATAACCTATATTGTGAGACTGTAAGCGAAGACTGCAGAAAAAGGATGCATTTTCAAATGACAGTTTGAACCAATTCCAAAACCCACATACTAGTTTTCCATCCCAGCACATTTTTTATTTCTCTCAAAGGTCTTCAAGAACTTTTTAAGTTTAATAACTATAAAGGCATAGCACTCCTTTTTGTACTTATTGTTAAGAGTGTTCAAATGTTTTACTTCCATTTACGCTTAAACAAGAATATTTGTATAAGCAAAAAAAATAAATAAATGTAAAAGTGCTTAGCATTTATAGTCAACATATCACTCAAGCAAGACCATAAAAAGCAAGTATTAAACCTTTGTGGGTGATATTTTGTTCGGAAAAATTATATCCATTTATTGTTTTAGGCCTACATGGTATAGAAATAAACTGTTATTAATAGAAAATAGAGATTCTTAAAATTCACTTCATTCACAAAAACAAAACTTCCCTAAATGATTTTTGCCCATTCTGTCGATGCTGGGAATCTACTACAAAAGAATTGCTGACAAATTACCAACTAAGAAGGTGGACTCTTTTAAGTGATTTAAAGAAGGAAGCAAACAGTTTAAATCAATGATATAGATCAAGTTTGTTTATTTCTAAATAAAGGTAAAAGCCTTTAAAACACTAAAAATTTAACCATCCTAATAAAAAGAACATTGTGGAGAATTGATGGAAATTTTACTGAAAAAAGGGTACAGTATATCAAAGGTATAGTCTTATCTATCAGACTATTAACTGTTTTGAAAAATAAAGATTAGTCTGGTATAATTTGCCTTTAGTTTAAAAGAATTTAATTTAAAACAGATTTTGCAAAGTGGCCTTTTCACACTGCTAAAAATAAAGTCTTAAACATCTGAGAGTCTTTTGAATATCTGAGCTCAGTCATTCAAGCTCTGGTCATCTCAAGCCTGGAGTAATGCAATGTGCTCTATATAGGCCTACCCTTGAAAAGCATTCGGAAGCTACAACTGGTGCAGATTGCTTCAGTTCAGGCAAATTTGGGGGGCCATCGAGTGGCCCATGAGCTGCACTGATTGTTGGTTTGCTTCCCAATGCAATTCAAGGTGTTGGCTATTATCTTTAAAGTCCTTCAAGGCATGAGCCCAAGTTACTTGAGGAATTGTCTCATCCCAAGGGGACAAGCCCACCCCACCAGTGCCAGCAGAGAAGGCATACTGCAGATCCTGTTGGTCAAGTAATTCTGGCTGGTGGGGTCCAGGAGAAGAGCCTTTTCTACCGTGGCTACAGACTTTTGGAACATCTTGCTCCTCGGAGAGAGATCTGTCCCCACCCTCTTGACCTTCTGTAAGGGCTTGCCAGTTGGCCTGGAGCCCCAATGGGGAGTATCACACTGGAGGTGGCTGATAGACCAACCGCAGATCCCACTCCCCCCCCATGCATGCTGCTCCCTCCCCTACCATCTTTTAATTATAATTTGTATTATTATTATTACGATTACACACACACACACACACACACACACACACACACACACACACACTGCTATTACTGCTTCTAACATTGTAATCCATCCAGAGTCACCTCATGGCGAGATGGCTAGCAAACAAAAATAAAATAAGTATCAGCACCAGCATCAAGCTGCTGCTAATACCAGAGGTCCAGATTAGACTGGAAGGTTTCAAAAATCTCCTGGAAGAAGCTAACAGCAAACAACTTCCACATCATGCCAAGAAAACAACCAGTCCATAACGTTATCAGGAAGCAAGATTAGCTTGAAGGAGTATTTACCTTTAGTGACGAATCATTCCTGGATGTTCTTCCCTTTTGGATGATAGGGACATTTGCTTGCTTCCAATTCCATTACAATTTCTCTGCGAATATAGATTTTTCATAAATTATAGAAAAGTCAACTTCTAAAAAATGAGATATTCAGATAGAGCAGGGTTCCCCAACACCCGGTCCACGGCCCAGTGATGGGCCACAGCCCATTGGGAACCAGGCCGTGGAAGTGGTGGGTGAGTGCAGGCATGTGGTCCACTGAGCGGGAAAGGTTGGGGACTGCTGTTATGGAGGAATGTGTTCACAGACTATATTTTAAGCTATTTGTAATTTCTCTTGTACTTTTTCCATTCTACATCTATACATTTGGTTTATTTTTCTGGAATATATGCATTGCATCTGCTAAATTTCATTGTTATTTTTACTCATTTTTCTAACCTAAAGATTGTTTTTAAAGGAGATGAGGGAATTTGCTATCCCTCTAATTTAACCTATCTAATTTTCATCTGGAAATTTGATAGGCATCCTCTCTGCTTCCTATTCAAGTCACCCCATTTAATATTTCACTCCTAACCTGATGAGGAATTACTAATTAAGTACTGTTTAAGTATGATTTCTCAAACCAGCTATATATCCTTTTATTTGTCATGACATCCAGCCCAAATAATACAGTAGTAACACGCTAAAGCAGAATCACATGGGGTACTTCACTTAACACTTCACTGAAATCAAGACATACTAGTCTATTTCGTTTTCCAATCTAAAATTAGCCAGTGAAAAAATGAGATTAGTTTGACACAATTTTTGAAAATTGCATTATGATTTCATAATTACTGCAATGTTTTAAGATGTTTACAGATCTCTTTCAGATCCGCTCTAGAATCTCTCCGCTTAACAACAGAAGATTGACCATTCTGACATTTCCCCCCTCCTTTTTTTTCTTTGAAGATATGAACAACTTTTATCCAGCTCTTTGCTAGACTTTCTCAAATATAATTCATAAAAGTTTGGCATGTCATCAGCAAATTCCTCTAGCACTCTGGGATAGATATATATGTTCCCAGAATCTTAGGGAGCTGTCAAATCATAAAGAAGCAAGCCACACAATTCCATGGGCAAAATGCACTTACCATTCATTTCATGCTGCACTGATCATTTTATCACCAAGAACTTTTGTCTGTAGCTTTCAGTTAATGCAAGTTTTGACTGCCAATCACCATGATATATGCACAGACCTGGAGGGGCACGAACCTGGAGGCGAGAACAAGATATTAAAAGACATTTTACATATTGTTTTCCCTATCTGGTAACCATTAAAGACCTCTACAGTATTACTTCATATTGGAGCACATCTCAATAGATATATATTAAAATCATAATGAACAAATTTTGACTTTATACTGAACCTTTCAAATGCGAACAGAACTTAGAAAGCAGAAAGGTGACAAACAAGCCAATACTGGACTGTAAAAAAAAAACACAAACATGAATCATAAAATTCCACTTTACTTATTCTGGCATGTCATTCAATCAAACTCACTGGAAAGGCAGTTATGCTCAGAATAGTCAGCAGTAAAAGGAAACAAGGTCACCAAAAACATGGTGGTTAGATACCACTAGCCAGAGCATAAAACAACTGAATGAAGCTGTACAAGATAGAAAATGTGGAGAGAACTGGTCCATAGAATCTTCGAAAATCGGACTTGATTGAATGAATAGCATTATCATCAATGTTCCTAAAAGCTGAACTTCCGGTGGATCAAGCAGCTATGATGGCTGCTTTTCACAAAGCAGCCCGTTCCTGGGTTGTGTAAAAGCTGCGGAACTTTGACAATCAGCTGTTCCACGGCTTGAATCTCTTCCCTGGGAGAAAGGGAAGAGAAGAGCCGCTCAGGTAGAGGTAAGAGCTCCCCTGGATCCCCATAATTCCGGGGATCAGAGGGTAGAGCTCCCTCGAAGCCTGAGGCAACTCCGCACTCCAGGATGTCTTTGTCCCGAAGTTCTGGGATGAAGCAAGGTGCTGCTCCCACATCTGCTTTTTTGGGAGGCTTGTGAGTATTCAAATGCAGACAGAGCAGACCAGGAGAAAGTGGATTTAAGATTGATTGTGACTTTAACTCCTGCAAGCATCTTCTCCCCCCTTTTTTTGTTTACTTTCCCTTTTGAAGAAAGTGAAAGTGAAAGGCAAAATGGCGACTGTCTTTCTTGTTTGACTTTGCAACAAAGTTAAAAGTTCATGTTTTAAATATATAGGCAAGAATTTTGTTCCTCTTTCTCTTTTTTTTCTCCTTCTTTCTTTCTTTTTATTATTATTTAAAGAACTGTGATATTATAGAGGCAAGAATTTTGCTCCTTTGAACTTAACAGAATGGCTTCAAAACGTTTGGTCTGTCCCTAAAGCTTCTATCTCCTCCCCAATGACTCAGCCTGCTTCTCAGTCTAAACCAAAATCACCCCCCACCCTCTCCTCCTCCTGCAATCTCTCTCAAAGACTTACAAGAGGCTTTAAAAATGAATGCTTTGGATGTTAAAGAGGAGGTAAAAGATCTCCTATTACAGAAGAATTATTGGAGAAAAAGAACAAGCAGGTCAGAGAAGACATATTATTTGCGTTTTCAGGTCTTGCCCTGCATATTGAAAGGATTGACAATAAAATGGAAGAGATTACTGAAAATGCAGCAAAACTGGAATTTAGAATGGAGGAAGTGGAGAATAAGATAGAAGTTACACAGGATGAACAAACTATTGCACAATACAGAGAAATGGAGTTCACATTGCGTATCCGGGAATTGAAAGAAAATTCCCAGGAAGATTTGAAGATGCTTATTGTTAGAGATATTGCTTTTAATCTTGGATAGAGACCAGAAGAAGTTGGGAATGAGATAGAAAAAATCTTCAGAGTCAACTCACAGGTTGCCAGACAGAGAAATTTACCAAGAGATGTGGTTATTTACTTTTCCAGAAGATCTATTCGTAATGAAATTATACAAGCTTTTTATAAAAAGAGGTTTCAAATTGCAGCTCAAGATGTGATAATTTTAAAAGAAATACCTCCAAAAATTTTAAGAGGTAGAAAAGATTTTACTTTTCTGTCTGATGAGTTAAAACAACGTCAAATCCAGTTCAGATGGGAGATTCCAAGAGGAATAGTAGTGAATTATGATGGAATACGTTACAGATTAACTACAGTTTTAAAGGCAAGAGATTTCTATCACTCTATTCTAAAGGCAAGACCGTCTTCACCTCCACAAAAAAGGATAATTGAAGAGCCCGTTATGGCAGGAGCTTCCTCATTGATGGTCATGGAACAAGCGGTGTTGCCTGTACAGAATCTTGAGATAAAAGATCAAAGGATGACACGAGCTGCCCATAAACGCAAAGAAAAAGAGCAGCAGCAGAAGAGTGGCGATAAAGTAGAAGGAATGGTTACTACAGAGCCTGTGGGAGGGGCAAGACCTAAAAGATCTTCGACAGTTGATCTTCAGGCTATGCTTCAAAGGCTTCAGGCCGGTGTAGATGGCCAAGTTCCTGACCTGGAATGTTAATGGCTTAAATTCACCTCAGAAATGGAGAAAGGTCTTTTACTATTTGAAACAACATAATAATGACTTGATATGTTTGCAAGAGACTCATATAACTTCAAAAGACTCAAAATATCTGACAAATTCTTGTTTGGGATCACATTTTATAGCTCCAGCTCCAGGGGAAAAAGGGGGTGTTGTAATTTATGTGAAGAAAAATTTATCGGCTAAATTGAGGTTGATCTTGAAGGAAGATATGTCTTTGTGGAACTACTGTTACAAAGCAAGAAAGTTCTTATTGTTGGATTATATGCCCCTAATCAACAACAGAAGCAATTCTATAAGCTTTTGCATGGGAAGATATCCCAGTTGGATTATAAATCTGTAATTTTGATGGGTGACTGGAATGGAGTTTTGGATATAACTATAGATAAAAAGAGCTCTTCAAAAAATTTCACTCAAACTAAATTACCCCAAACTTTTTTTGATTTGAAAGAAGAGTTGGAACTTATTGACATTTGGCGAGAAAGGAACACAAGTGATAGAGATTTTACCTTCTATTTGGATAGACACCAGTCATTTTCAAGGATTGACTTCTTTTTGATTACTACTGATTTTCTTTCTAGGGTGAGAAAGGTAAAAATCTTTCCCAGGACCCTTTCAGACCATAGCCCTGTGTGGATGGAGCTATACTTGGAAGATGGGAACAGAAGGCCTTGGAGACTGAATGAGAATTTGTTTACCCGGGAAGAGTTTGTACAAAAATGTAAAGAGTATTTAAAGGAGTTTTTTTCTTTAAATATGAATAAGGGTACATCGATGCCCATGGTCTGGGATGCCAGTAAGACGTATATGAGGGGAATTTTAATTCATTTAAATAAAGTTTCTAGGGATAAAAGGATACAAAGACGTAGAGAAATAGAAGATGAGATTAAAATAAAAGAAGAAGCGCTTGCTCTTAATCCAACTGATAATAACTTAAAGGTTTCTATAAAGATGCTTAGGGAACAATTTAATATGTTGATGGCAGATCAGGTGCCTACCAATTTGCGTTATATTAGACATAATACTTTTTGTAATGCGAATAAGCCTGGGAGGTGGTTGGCTTATCAGTTACGAAAGAAACAGAAGGCTAGGATTATAGAGAAAGTAAAATATAAAGGTACTGAGGTTTTTCAGCAAAATTTGATTAAAAAGAGTTTTTTAGATTTTTACACAAAACTATACTCAAGTGATAATATAAAGGGAATGGATATAGATAAATATTTACAATCAGTACATTTTCCTAAACTTTCTGAGGAACAGCAAAATGGGATGAATTGTTTAATTACTGTGGAGGATATTGGCTTAGCTATCAAGCAGTTAAAGGTGGGAAAGTCTCCAGGAACAGATGGATTGACGTTGACGTATTATAAAAATTTATATGAAGAAATGTTGGAGCCATTAAAGGAGCTTTTTAATAGTATCTTGCTGGGAGCACAAGTTCCTCCTTCTTGGAAAAGAGCATTTATATCATTGATTCCGCCGCCCGGAGTCCTGCGGGAGTGGGGCGGTCTATAAATTGTAATTAATAAATAAATAAATTCCGAAGGAGGATCAAGATCTTACAGAGCCTAAGAATTATAGGCCGATATCATTATTAAATGTAGATTACAAGATTTTTACAAAAGTTTTGGCAAATAGATTAATGCAGGTTATGAAGGATTTGATTCACAGTGATCAATCAGGATTCATAACAGGGCGATACATGAAACATAATGTTAGACAAATTATTAACTTAATTGAGTATTTGGATAAGAACAATCAGATTCCTGTGGCTTTTATATTTTTGGATGCTGAAAAAGCCTTTGATCAATTAGATTGGCAATTCTTATTCTCACTGGTAGAGAAAATGAATTTTGGGGATAATTTTTTACATGCACTTAAAGCTATATATCAGCAACAATCAGCTCAAATTGTTGTTCATGGGGGATTGACTGAGACTTTTAATATTGAAAAAGGGACAAGACAAGGATGTCCATTATCTCCATTATTATTTGTTTTAACATTGGAGATTTCGTTGATCCAGATTCGAGAATCAACGGTAATCAAGGGCATAAAGATAAGAAAAAATGAGTATAAATTACGGGCTTTTGCGGATGATTTGGTTTTGATTTTGGAACAACCGATTAGAGTGGTTGATTGTCTATTAGAACTTATAACACAGTATGGAAAAGTTTCTGGTTTTAAAGTCAATAACCATAAGACTAAGATATTATCTAAGAATATGTTAGCCAATGACAAGGAAAGTTTGGTTAAAGCCACAGGTTTTCAGATGGTGAAAAAGGTTAAATATCTGGGAGTATATTTAACTGCCTCAAATGGAAAATTGTATAAAAATAATTATGAATTACTATGGGCAAAAGTGCAAAAGGATTTAAATGACTGGAAAAAACTGCAATTGTCACTATTGGGGAGAATTTCAGCTGTAAAAATGAATGTTCTACCAAAGTTTCTTTTCTTGTTTCAGATGACACCTATTTTAAAAAAAGATGTAAATTTGGAGGAATGGCAGAAGGGTATCAATAAATTTATTTGGGCTGGGAAAAGGTTGTATGGAGAAGATGGATAGATTATATTCAGAAAAAAATATGGGACTATAAAGTTTCATTTATTTTATGAGTAAATTTTATAGTAACTGCTGTAGAGATTTGTTTATATGACTTAATTTAAGGGGAGTTAAAGGTTAAGTATGATGTTTTTTTTCTTTTTTCTTTTTTTTTATTATTGTTAACTTTCTTATTAATAACCCTGTATTCTGCTCTGGGAAGCGAGGGGGGAGGGTTGAGGGTGGGTGGGTGGGTGGGTAATGATAATATAGTCATGGTAAACGCTTGGGCATTTCCCCTATGCTGCGTTTATGTGTGTGAGAGGGATGAGAGGGGAGGAAGGAGTAGGGAGGAAGTGGAATGGTTAGAGGAGAAGGGGAGGGGAAGAGATTAGGAGGGGAGGAGAGAAAGAGGAGGGAAGTAGGGAAGGATTAGAGAGGGTGGACGCGGCCTGGGGGGAATGGGCAGGCGGTACCAATGATTAGGAATTTATTTTAATTGAATTGTATTTTGTATGAATAAATGGAAAATAAAAACTTTTTAATAAAAAAAAGCTGATACGAACACCATCATCCTACTAAAAATATACAATCACATATCCTAATTTGGATATGCAATTGGTAAATAATGGCTCGTTAAAATCTTAGCATAGTCTGCATAAATAGTTCTGGGTTGTATTTTCTTTCACCTTCATCTCATGCAACAGTTATCAGAATTTTCTAATCTCAATTACATAATGTTTGCATTTGTTTCTGAAATTGGATAAGTAATTAAGGAGCTGGACTGAAGGGGGGGAGGAGTTCTAGTTTCCAGTGCAAATACATCCTTAGTTTCTGAAGCCCACCTTCAGAAAAGGTGGAAAAACTGAAGAAGGAAATATTATGTATGCCATATTGACCTCTTAAAAGAACAGTAGCATATAAATCTAGCAAATATGTAAGTCACCACACCAATTGAAAAAATAGATACACATTCCTAAGCCTTATAGACATTTAGTAACAAATTTACCATTGACTATTCCTCCCTAAATGCTTTACTGGATTAGGTCCCCCAAAAAGCAGTGTTCAGAGTAGAATATTATAATTACAGAACTACTAATTTTATATCCCAACTTTCCTTCAGAAATTCAAGGGGGGGTGTGTCTCCTTAATTTTATTTTCTATGGCAGAATATAATTGGCCCCAAATCATCTAGTTAATTTTCTGATTGAGGGTAGATTAGAATTTGGGCCTTCCCAGTCTTTGTCCAACAACTTATGTGTTACACTACACACAGGTTTACCAGGATAGTCCGTTTTGAAATTTTTGTGCCCAAACAGTAACATAAAATAGAAAGTTGTCCACGTATTATTTTACAAAAAGACTATTTTAATTTAAAAAAAAGAATTTATTCATTACACGTATCATAACAAATACACATAAAATAGTCATATTGGCCAGTTTCAAAGTTAAATCTCTCCATGACTAAGCTTACAAAATATATTTATAATGCTCCTAGAGTGTTACTAAAATAACTACATTAAAAATAGGAACTGAGTCCGTAGAGAAAGATTTTTCCACAGACCGGAGAGTGCATGGTTTTGTGTGCTGTCTGCATCTCACAGATAGGGCTTTGTTTGTGCAGACCAGTTGCTGGAATGCTGTGTCCCAGTACCGGTCCACAGACCAGGGGTTAGGGACCCCTGATCTAGAATATTCTCCACTGATCTAATCTCTACAATGAAAAAAAATTCCAGATAACTACAGTTTTTAGTTTCATTAATAAGGCTAGTAAAAATAACTTTGCATATAAGTCCTGTTTCTCTGCATCTGTCTCCTTTATTCAATGATATTTCAGCAGTTGAATAAATAAAATTCAAAAGTACTCATTAAATATATTTTGGCAATATCTACTTCAATAGATGCAGCTGCTTTCAGAGTACACACTAATGAATACAGTGCACATGAATCTATTCAAAATTCTCAGCCATCTGCAGAATTCTCCAACAATTCTCTTACATCCAACAAGATTTATTTCATAGATGTCTCAGCATTTTCTAACACTAGTCATTACTGACTTCCTTACACATAAGCTCATTATTCCTATCACTATGCGTTACTCTTATAAATATGCATATCACTAGAAACTATACTGAAAACAGGAATTCAAAATGGGAAAACGCTGACATGACATTGAAATATCAGTTGAAAAAATATGGCTGCCTACATTTTGCCTTCCTACCCATCCCCATCCTAAATTCCAATTCCAAATCACAAAATACTGCAGGGCTGTAACAAAGTGTAATTCTGAATCCAAGGAAAACAAAAGAATAGCCACTAATCCGGTTTCATAAAATAAAGGAACAGCTCAGACTTATCAATATTAAAGTAGGAGAGGAGTCACTATACAAAATAGCATGAGCAAAAAATATATCAATTTGGCAAGAAAAAAACGGACATAAAATAAAAGTCTGGGATAGGAGAGAAAGTCTCAACTACAGCCTTCTTGTGAACCTTGAATTGGTAGAGATGAAAGCGAAAGCCAAAAGAAGTCTGGAGTTTCATATATCCATCTATTTATACCATAAATCAGTTATAGGTAGTTCTCAACTTATGACCACAACTGAGTTCAACATTTTTGTTGCTAAAACATTTAAGTGAATTTTGCCCCATTTTACGACTTTTTGTGCCACAGCTGTTAAGTGAAGCACTGCAGATGTTAGATTAGTAACATGTTTGTTAAGTGAATCTAGCTTCCCCATTGATTTTGCTTGTCAGAAGATCACAAAAGGTGGTCACAAGACCCTGGGACACTGCAACCATCATAAATATGAGTCAGTTGTCAAGAGTCCGAATTTTGATCACATGAGTATACTGCAAAGCTTATAAATGTGAAAAACGGTCATAAGTCACTTTTTTCAATGCCGTTGTAACTTTCAATGGTTACTAAACGAACTGTTGTAAGTCGAGGACTACCTGTATCAAGCTTGTTCGCGATCGTGATGTTCGCGATCCAACAAAAACTCCCCACACCCCACCCCTCTGGCTTTCATTAGCCATTCTAGTCGGAAAGGCTAGTGGTGCCTGCCTCGCAGTTGCAGAGCTCAATGGCACCCGGAAAGTGCCACGTTTAACCAAGCTCCGTTTTCCAGCAGAAGCAAACAGCTTCGTCTGTCAGATGCTACCCTGGCGCCCATTATGTTTAGAACCTTAAACCATGGAGGGAAACCGCAGGGAGCAGTTTCGAATCTAGGTCGGAAGAAGAGCTAAAGGTCGGTTCGATAATCCTGGAACTAGTTCTAATCAAAGGGCGCGATAGTGAACTCACACTGGGCGCAGATCCCCGTTCACCCCGCGAATGAGCCGGGCCAAAACAACTCCTGCACCGAGTCGGGCTTATGTCCAACAAAGTCCAGCGCTCGCAACCCTCTCCGCCGCAGCGCTTGGGCTTTCCCCGCTCTCTTACCGCACCTTGGGCCCCTGGGCCGCAGCCCGCAGCGGCACTGGCTCCACTTCTTCCCTTCACTCCGCCATCTTCCCCTCCCTGCTTCAAGTCACCCAATCGGAGCCCGCGCGAAAGGATCACGTTGCCGACGACTCTGCTCTTCCATTGGTCTGATCTCTTATCGGTCACCTCCCGCTTTTAATGGTTATTGGACGGCCGACCGAATCCTGCGCCGCCTCCGCAACACGGAAAACCTATTGGCCAAGAGAAGGGGTGGGGCACGCCTTCTTTCTCCTGGAATTGCTCTGCAGCGTCGGTGAGGTGGAGGTTCGTCGTTTGGTATGTTCAGCCATTCCCAACGCCTTCGAGGAAGAAACGACCTGCGGGATGGTGGCGGCCGAGTTATATTGGAAGCGACTCGGAGCAGAGAAGAAGCGTCAGTCCACTGGGCCTGCGCTGCTTTTTCCGTACATATGCCTGCCTTTGCATATTTTGCGCTCAGTCAACAGCCACTCTCGCATGCGCACCTCGTTCTCATACCAGTAGTCCCAGCTTTGGAATTGGGAAAGCTTGACTGAGATTTGGTGGGGGTTGGGGGCGACTGGATTCAAAGGCTGAATCGCAATGTGGATCACGGTTCGGCATGTGGAGTGAAGACGTTCATGGTTTGGAAGCCATCAATTGTAGCATACGGATGGTTTTACTATATTGTGAGATCACAGTAGGTAGTCCTCAATTTACAACAGTTCATTTAGTGACCTGTCAAAGTTACAACAGGACTGAAAAAAGTGACATGGCCATTTTTCACACTTATGGCCATTGCGGCATCTCCATGTTTATGTGATCAAAATTCAAACGCTTCATAATGGACTCATATTTATGATGATTATTTATTTATTTATTTATGAGACTTATATACCGCTTTAAGTGCAAGCACTCTCTAAGCGGTGTACACCAGTAAGCAATGTATATATATATTTACATTGCCCCCAACAATCTGGGTCATCATTTTACCTACCTCGGAAGGATGGAAGGCTGAGTCAACCTTGAGCCGGTGAGATTTGAACCGCTGACCTGCTGAACACAGTCAGCTAAAGTGGCCTGCAGTACTGCACTCTAACTGCTGCGCCACCTCAGCTCTTATAGTGTCCCTGGGTCATGTAATCACCTTTTGCCATCTTTTGATAAGCAAAGTCAATGGGGAAAGTAGACTCAACAACTGTGTTGCTAACCAGTGCAGTAATTCACTTAACAACTCTAGCAAGAAAGGTCACAAAATGGGGCAAAACTCAATGTGTCACTTAGCAACAGAAATTTTGGGCTCAACTGTGGTCTTAAGTCAAGGACTACCTGTACTTATTCTAGGATTGTTGAATTAACTCATCTAAAACATCTTCCAGAACAGACATGTCAAAGTTGTGATGTCACGTAACATATTGGGACAGTTTTGCCATTGCCGGCAATGTGGGGGTGGCTTCCAGATGATGCATCTGACTGGCAGTTTGACACCCGTTCCAGAGGATATTTACTATTCAGGTTCATTGCCTTCATTCCACTAAAGGAGCAAATTTGCAGGAAGAACATACTGGTAGTCCTTGCTTAAAGAGTGCTTAGTGACTTTGAAGCTATGAGAGTTCAAGAGTAACAACAGCTGCTAACGGTCCCACAGTCACATGATTGCAGTTTGGTTGGGAACCTGCTTGCCTTTACCACCAGTTGTAGCATTCTGTAGTAGAGTGACTGCAGTTTCTTTTTTGCCAGTTTCTGGCAAAAAGGCCACCAGAATACATTGAGTTACTTATTGACTGAAGTGATTGCTTTACAACCCCTGCAAAATTACAGTTGTAAAATTGGGTCTGGCTTATTGGTGTCTCAACTTACAACCATCACAACTTACAAATTCCAAACTCCACTACAGTTGTAAGTCAAATATTAGTCATAATACCTTTTTAAATCATAGAAATAATAACCTCTCTTACATAAGGTGAATGGTTGCCAGTTTGCTTCTGGGTTACTTCAAAGTGTTGGTTATTACCTATAAAGTCCTTCATGGCATGGATCCATAAAACAGCAGCAGGTCATATAAAAGATTGGGTGGGAAGAAAATGCTACTAGCTATATAATCACTGTATAATAAAAACAAGATACTGAATTTGTTTCCATCTTTTATAGAACTCTGAGAAAGCTAGTGGGGAAACTCTTTCAGCAGTCCCATTAGGTGTATCTTGAAATTGTAAGAGTTGGTTTTCAAACCATGATGCTTGTATTTGAAAGTTGGATAAACATATGGACCTTTTTCAAAATGTAGACATTTCTCAGAAATACAGGATTTTCTTCATTTGCCTTCAGAACAGTGTTGCATATGGGGCATGCAGAGCTCACAATATCATGCCCTGATTTGTGTACTAGAAATTTTTCAATTAAGATGGGGTCCAAGAAGTATTTTTCTCCACAAGATAAAGATGTGCTACTGTCTATTGAACTATAATAATTGTGATAGTGTACATGACTTTGATATGTAGACTGTCTTGTGCTTTGCTGCCTGACAAAAAAATAAAAGATCAGTTGGTTTTGCAAAATAACTTCCTCATATATTTTCTGGGGTGGGGGGAACAATAGCAAATCTGTTAATATAGAAAAAGGTTATGTCATTCAAAGAGTTTGATGCATGGATCAAAATGGGATTGAATAATTTATTATTCAGAATATTGAGAGAACTAAACCATCTTCCCAACATAGTATTTTATGTGAAAGTAACAGATAGGTTAATCTATTGATCTGGATTTTAGGCTTACTGTAGCATCTCATATGAATCCAGTCACAACCACACCGAGTAATTCAAAATAAATGAATTTCACATGTAATAGCTGTAAAGGACAGAATGTGCAGCATTCCACATGTGAATATATTCTTACAATATTTACTTCCCTTAAAAAGTTTTTAGTAATATAATACAAGAGATTGCATTTTGATCATAAATAGTGTATGTTAGACTGATATTCTTACAAGGCAGTGTGGTATATTGGTTATGTGCTGTAATAGTTTTCAGGCTCACATTCAGTATCAGCTTTGGATACTTGCTGGATGATTTTAGATAATTTTGTCATCCCAACCTACTTTTCAGAATATTATTGCAGGAAAATGGGAAGAGGGAGTACCACGTATGCCACCTTAAGCTCCTGAAGGAGAGGCAGAATGCAGTTCCAACAAATAAATATAAAAATGTGTTTGATACTGACTCCAAAACAGAAACAGAACCTATAACAAGTCCATTTGATGGTCTATGTTTCTATCCTCCAAATCAAAAATAATGTTTAAAATAAGCACGTTTACAGTGTAAATCCAAAAGTTCTGAATGACACATTGAGGACAAAGTAAATGGTAAGCAAGAGGCTTTGATAGCAACCATGGGTAGCAGATAGTGGATCATTTCTGAAAACAACACAGGTATTGCCAGTTTGCCCAGTGATGCACTACAGGTAGTCCTTGACCTACAACAGTTTGCTTAGTGACCGTTCAAAGTTACAAAGGCACTGAAAAAATGACTTATGACCCATTTTTCACACTTATTGTTGTTGCAGCATCCCCATGGCCACATGATTTACATTCAGACGTTTGACAACTGACTCAATGTATGACAGTTGCAGTGTCCTGGAGTCACGTGATCACTTTGTGCCACCTTCTGACAAGCAAAGTCATTGGGGAAACCAGATTCATTAACAATGGTGTTACTAATTAGTAACTGAAGTTATTTAACAAATGTGACAAGAAATGACATAAAATTGGGCAAAACTCACTTAACAAATTTCTCACTTAGCAACATAAATTTTGGGCTCAGTTGTGTCATAAGGTGAGGACTACCTGTAATTCTTACTCTTGTCTCATTCTTGTATACTCTCACCAGTTTAACTTTATCAGTAATCAGCAAAAAAAAAGGTGGGGAGGAGATCTTGTCAGAAAGTCTCTTCCCTCTTTTTCTTCAGTGGCTGGTGGGAATAGAACAATGGTTCTCAACCTTTTTTTTCTGGCGACCCCAGTCATAAGGACGCGCCGCGCATGCGCGGCGCCATCCCCATGCGCAGCGCGCATGCGCGGTGCCGCCAGCTGACAAAAAAATGGCGGATCGCGTTTGGCGACCCCCGTGAAATGGTCGTTCGACCCCAAATGGGGTCGCGACCCACAGGTTGAGAAATGCTGGAATAGAAACTGGGCTACTTAATTTAGGCTGGGGAGCAACTAAAGCTTTCAGGGTGCCAAGGCAATTCTTCCAGATAGAAATTTCCACTTCAATGTTTCTGATGTGTCATTCATTTGCTTTTTAATCTTTATATACCTGATAAACATCAGTTTGCAAAGCTGTCTCTAATTGCTTCTTTGATTTCTTCCAAGCTTATTCTTGAATCATCATTGTCCTTTATCCTTCTGCCTTTAAACCAACTTTGAATTTTTCCAACTATCAAGGTCTTTTTCAAGGACACTTGCCTTCATAATACTTATCAAAAATACTTAAAAGTTAGCTTTATTATTAGTGCTTCCAAGTAGTACTCTATCAGTTTCATTTCATCAAGTATTGAATGATTTCTTCTTCTGGATTAAGGAATTCCCAACAATTTTCTCCAGCATCATAAACAACTTTTTTTTTTCTTAATTTAGCATATTTGACAATTTAGCTTTCAAAGCCATGTTGCAAGTGGGAAATTATTTACCTTTCTCAGTGTGATTTTCGGCACTTTAATACTTAAAAGATTTCATCTAGATCTGCCATAGCCTTTAGCCCAAGTATCAGATATTTGTCTCATGGCTACATATCTCCCTATAACTGTATTTTTGAGGCTAAGAAAATTAATTTTGCCTTCTTTTTCAGTTCTCTTCACATTGTGTTAGCTTTTGTTAACACTAAACAGAAGATGGACTAAACCAGGGGTGTCAAACTGCTAGCTGGTTGCATCATACAGAGGCCGCACCCACCCCAGCTCCGGCAATGCAAAAAAAGCGATATGTCAACATTCATGTGACACAG